GGGCGGGTCAGGAGAGGTCTGCCGCGCCATGTGGTCACCTCCGGGGCAGGCGGGAATCGAACTCATGAGGAAGCGGCTTTAGATTCTCAGTGCTGCGCTTTAACCCGCTGCGCCACCAGGGAGGGCCTAAAAATCACTTTTAAAGTACATTTGGGGAGATGTTATTTTTTCTTCAAGAAATGTTGACATATGATTTCCTAATGAAAGAAGAGAATTCTTAAAGATTAATTGCTGAGGGACTTCTCTTTCTAAAATCTGACTACTACTTCAGTGAGACTTTAGAGCATCTCATCCAGGTCTTCCATAGCTCCACACATTCTGGATAATGGACTACACCTTGGTCCATTTTGCTGGCTTCTTTTCAAGGTACCCCTTAAATGGTGAGAGTGCCTCATGAGTCCATCCCCAAACCCCTACTCTCTAGCCTGATGTCTTCATTTGTGCTCAGAAAATCACTGAAAATCACTAACCATCACACTGTCATCTATTCCACTGCCTGCGAGGCATCTCTCCTTGTTTATCTCACAGGTGTCTCAAACCTTATCCACAACTGAATTTATCCTCTCCCCACCGATAAGCCATCACCAGCAACTGGCTCTTTGAATTTTCCCTTATCTCAATAAAATGGTGCCACTATTTACTCAGTTGTCTAAATCAAAACCCTGGAAATCATCTTTGCTTTCCTCCCTGATGGCAAATCCAGTCACTCACCATCTCTTAACTATCTTTTAAGTCACTTGTGAATCTACCACCCTTCTCCAGACCCATCGCCTCTAGCACTCTGACCTGTGCTCATGTACTTAACTATCGAGTACTGCCCTAGATTCCTTCAGGCACCCCACTTCTCCATGCTCCTCATTCTTCATGTATTACCTATTGCCCATACATCTATAGTGATTCTATAAAAACACAAAATCAGTTAAATCATTGAGTCAAAAATGATATGCTTCACAACGTTTGTTGCAGCATTATGTATATTAGGCTACGACTTAAAAGCAACTGAAACTCCCAGTGGTAGAGGACTGGACAAAGAAGATCTGGTAGAACCACATAGTAGAATACTATTCAGCCATAAGGAAAGATGAAATGTTACCATTCACGGCAAAGTAGAAGGGAATTATAGGTAGTAAAACAAGTGAAAAAAAAAAGACAAGTATTGGACATTTTCAGATAGATGAATAAAATAATAATAACATTGAATTGGCTAGGCAAAATCACTATAAACTAATGGACATTCATAAAGTGAAGTTTCTGAGGTTAAGAGGGAAGAGAGAGAGGGGGAAAGGGCCAAAGGGGGTCTAAGGAATGATGGTAAGCAGGAAAATACCTCACATACTTAATCACCTCACATTACACCCTAGGGTTTTTCATTTCTCTTAGGATGAAACTCCCAATGCTGAGACTGACCATCCATCCCATAGACTCAGTTCTTTCTCTCTAGCTTCCGGCCATACTGGCCTTTGGTTCCCCTCCCCTGCCCCAAATAGTCCATATGCTTGTCCTAAGGCTTCACATTTATTTCCTCTGCCAGGAGCTCTCCTGACTTTCATCAGTTGGCCAAGTCCTGATGTGTTTTTTAGATCAGTGAGACATGAGTTGTCTTGTACCTCTTTAGTTTCCTAGGGCTTAAAATAACATTGTAGTCATTATAACATTATTTTTTATCAGAATCTACATTTTTGTTTCAATATCAAGTTCTACCAGAACTTATTCATTCACTCACCAAATACTTATTGACAGCC